TCACCGGCGGCACCAGCCACCTACTTTACATTCATGATGTAGTCAACCAGACCCGATACTTAGTCAACACAGGCGCCGAAGTCAGCGTCCTGCCTGCTACGACAGTTTTTGGCGGGAAATATACCTATCTGAAGGCAGGTTTACGCAAACGTATTCAGTGGATTTTCCTCCTCGCTGACGTCACAATGCCCGCCATTGGCACTGACCCACTTAACCACCATAATTTTCTCGTAGATGTCTGCCGAAAACAACTGATAGGCGGTACTACTAGATCGTCTAATAAAGGCATCACCTACCTAGGCCATAGCTTATCACTTGTTAAGAAGAAGGCAATCTTTGATCTAGCATTCTAGTCGATTGTTGATAAGTACCAGGAACTTAATTGCCCGTCCATCGATCTACCCTGCATAACCAGCAATGTTATGCATCACATTATAACCTCAGGACGACTCGTGACATCTAAAGCACGAAGACTTGCTCTGAACAAACAATGACGCGATGGAAATGAATTCGACCATATGCTCACACTTGGCATCATTCGGCCATCCAATAGCTCATGGACATCCCCACCGCATATGGTACCGAACAAGGATAGCAATAATTGGCGGCCCACTGGTGATTACCGGCGAGTGAATGCCAAAACAACCCATGATTGCCATGCATTTCCCCACACACACGACTTGATGGCGACATTGACTGGTGCAACTTTATTCTCTAAAATCGACTTGGTTAAAGCGTATAACCAAATCCCGATGGCAACAGAAGATATTCCGAAAACGGCTTCCATTAAGCCTTTCGAACTTTTTGATTTCTACCCGTGCCATTCGGCTCCCAGAATGCAGCACAAATATCCCAACGCTTCTGTGACGGAGTGTTTCGCGGTCTCGACTTTGTGTACGCATACTTAGACGACTGCCCATTGCAAGTCCAGACAAGGAAACTCACTTTAGTTACTAAGACTTGGCATTCGAAAGGCTGCGTCTACATGGTATTACCATTAATATTCAAGTGTCAGATAGGCGTTGACTCACTCTGCCTTCTGGCCCCCACCATTGACTGCAAGGGTATTCGCCTACTGGCTAGTAAAGTTGAGGCGATATTGAACTTTCCGGAGCCAAAGACAGTGAAAAACCATCCAAATTTTAACGGCTTGGTAAGTTATTACCCACGCTTCACTCCTAACTGTGCTTACTTGATTCAGACTCCAACAGACATTCGAGGGAGTAACAAGTCCATGGAACTTGAACAATTTGCCCAAAATACTTTCACTCAGGTTAAGAAAGCTACCATGGATGCCACACTTCCTATATATCAGGATCCAGCCGCAACGTTAAGCATTTCGGTTGATGCAGCAGGCAGTGCAATCGGCGCAGTTCTGCAACAACTAGTCAACAGAGAGTGGCAACCACTCGCCTTTTTCTCGAGACGCCTACAATTAGCAGTAAAGAAGCACATTCGGCAGCGAGCTTCTGGCTATGCACTTTGCTATACGTCATTTTTGACATTCAGCAGAGGGTCATGAATCTATAATTTTCACCGACCACAAATGTCTGACTAACTCTCTGAACTCAACTTCAGATAAGTATTCACCTAGAGAACCACGAAAACTACGGCAGGTTTCACAGCTGTTGTCAGCCGACTCTCAGTAACTGTCAATGTCCAGCTCTTACTGTGCTGGACCTCACGCTGTCCCTGGGAGACTTTCAGAAACAATTTGTAATAACCAAGGCGAAAAGCCAGAACACAGATTGTCAACTCGAGGATCCTTTATTCTTACGCCAACACGACAGCTGTTGTCGGATATTCGCCATATATCCCGAGTGAACAATACTGTGGCAGACGCCTTGTCACGCATTTGTTCTCTCATCTGAATAAACGGCATAGACCTATCTTCAAAAAGAAGGTATCGGTCTTCAACATGAGTTGTAGGAAACAACTCTGCTATTAGCCAAGAAACCCTTAGGTATGGGAGAGACACTATTCTATGTGACATTTCCACGAGTACTCCTCGCCCCATCGTGCCTAAAAGTAATGCTTTTAGTACGTCCCGTGGTTTGTCCCACCCAATTATTCAAACTACCGTCAAGCTCGTAACTAGTCGGTTTTGTTGGCCTAGCATTAATAAAGAAGTAAGGGAAAGCGCTCACACGTGCTTAGCTTGCAAAAAGTGCTAGGTAGTAAGACACAAAAAAGCCGTTGTCCATGAAGTTGAAGGAAGAATGATCAATTCATGGTTGTTTACTCAAAACCAACCCCATATTTTGGCGAGAGTTATCGATACTATAGTCATTGATCCATTGTTCGCTGTTTGTTAGAAGACGTAGAAATACCATCAGAAGTATTATTGTGATTGATTGTTCCCACATTTTTTCTTGGAATTTGTATACACTAACCTTGTGGTTGGATCTATATTGGTGCAAGAATAAAGGATTCATGAGTAACCAAATGTGCACAGATTTTTCGCGTTGGATGTTGGACAAAGTTGCTGAAAGTCTTCTAAGGACAGTGTGAAGTTCAGTGTAGTAAGACCCGGAAATTTGACAGCACCGTTTCATTATATGACATTAAACCTAACATTTTAAAGCTCTCGTCAGCCAACTCTCAGAAACTGTCAATGTCCAGCTCTTACTACGCTGGACCTCACGCTGTCCCTTCAAAGACTTTCAGAAGCAATTTGTAATAACCAAGGCGAAAAACCAGAACACAGATTGTCGACTCGAAAATCCTTTATTCTCACGCCAATATGTAACCAACAATAAGGTTATTACACACAAGGTCTAAGAATAAATGTTATAAAATAAATCACGATAATACTTCTGATAGTTTTCTGTCTTCCACCGGACAGCGAACACTGAGACGATGACTGATGGATGGATGACTCCCGCGAAAAATATGGAGGAGTTGGGTTTGAGCAAACAACCATGAACTGATCGTTCAATCTTCAACTACATTGACAGCTCTTTATGAATTCGATTTGTCTTATTCTATCCCTATCCTATGTAGGGTATGGTTGTGCACCAAACGGACAAAGAGATGTGATATAAACACAACCGGCTTGAGAATAATTTTATTAAATCCGAATATGGTCATCATGATAGTAAGATCTATATGGGTAGCATTACACACTAAAAAAGGAACGTTGTCAGCCTAGGGATTATATAGTTTCCCATTGTATTTCCTTTATGAATGCATATATTAATGATACATTGCACTTATTTATTTCATTACACTTTATTAATTCACCTTAACACTTTTACTTTTCTAAAACAGCTTTCAACCCCATGCAAACGTTGTGCTTACCTCAATATTGGTTGGTTATCGTATGCCTACAACCACGGGTGGAAAACGGAACGAAGTCGATTTTCCCCCGCAACCTGGAGGACTACTGTACAATTCAATAACTATACGGCCTGGTTCAGACAATGAGTGTATTTACATATATATATATATATATCAAATATTTAGCTGTTGAAACATTGTTAACTTGTAGACAATCCACGATTTGAGATTATATCATGCTTTATCTTGCCTGCAAAAATGGCATGCATTTTAATGTAGATTTATATGTTTATATGAAAATATACATTATTGTCACTAAACAAATGCAGTCGGATAGGACGAAGATGTTAAGGCCAGCCTGCCAGAATCGAGAATACAAATACACCTTCATCAACTCGAAACTAGTTTGGAAATCCGCGCACATGATAAGGAAGAAGATTGGGGTTTTCAGTCAGTTAGTCTGTTCTTCTATATGTGTCAGAAACTTGTACTGCGTGTCACGAAAAGTATTTTCAACGGCCGTTTTTGCTGGCTCTATACTCAAGTTCAGATGGCCCGCCAGAGAGGATTAGAGACAAACTCTAAGAATGAATCAACCGAGTACTTATTGCACGACACACATTCAGAAGTAAATGGAGACCGATTGGGCACAGTCTGAGGCTATCGCTTCAGTGGCACCGGAATCGGAAACGACGATTGGGATATGTGTCCGAGAGTGATTTTGAGGAGATCATGTGAGGAGTTTATGAGAGATTATGGTCAGTCTTGAGAGGACGGTGGAAATTAGGGCAGAGCAAAGGTGTTATTGTCCTTTCGGTATCCAAAGGAACAATAATAATAATAAAATATCGGCAACAGTTGCATTAAGCAAACCTTATGCAGTAATCACCTGTATCAAAACCACACTTTCTTTCGACAAGAAGAACATTACACCTAATATGCCGCATAATCGCACCACAAATGAGTCCCTCTAGTAGCTCAATAAATTTTCTAAGATGCACTGGATGACTATTGCTATCCGAATGTTCAGGTCGAGTTTCGGAGACCAAACTGACGATGACACACTTGAAGCCTCTCTGAGATCTGGACAGGTTCTGTGTTATAATGAATAATAGCAAAGACGATTTTGTTATGGTCCTAGCTATAGACGATGAAATGCGTAGGTGGAGATGGCCTGGACTGCCAGACTTATGAAGTGCTAGCACGATTTTAATTTATAGAACCACTCGTATTTTGCCGACCGTGGTGAATATAACGCAACGAGGCTTATAAGAATGAGGAAGACACAGAATCTATCCAGCATATATCAGTGAAAAGTAGCTCAACCTTCTGGTTCTGTGAACTGAAGAAAAACAGAAATTTCAGAGGAGCATGGAAAATTTCCCCGCCATTTCAACCGGTGCGTACGTGATGACGAAATTCGTATATAGATTTGTGAAAAATTCGAAGTGAAGATCTTGAAACAACAAGACTTAATTTCTAAGGGGATGATGTTTAATGTATATCCAAATAAAGGTCATGCGTTCATCTCGGACTGATGAGGTCCCGACGTAGATTTGGGTAGTCACCACAAAGAGATTCTTTGTATTACATTTCAGAAGCCTACTGATGCAAACAGAGGCAGAAAATCCACATTTTAGACTCATGAATAGCATTCTAAACATACAGAACATAGATAATTTGGAATGCGAAGATATAAGTGATATTGAATTTTTCGTTTGCGCGTTTTGAATAACACGTTACAGCCTGTATTATGGCAGATGTTCTGTCACTCTTGCGAGAGTATCACCTAAATGGCAAGCCAATCGTTGAGACTCAAGCCGAGGTGATATTTGGAGACTTTGCCTGGCCTAAAACCACCAAAACCAACTTTTTAGTATGGGGGTAATGGCCGCTGCTTTGCTTTCAAATCAATTATCATAGGTCTGGCAAAGAAGGTACTGCAAAGGACTATTATACCCTTGACTGTGTTGTGTATTTATTGAAGCACATTGATTTGCCACATACCCAGTATGTGCGGCAAGCAGCAGTAAGCAGTTATATTCCCATTAAGGATTTAATAACTAAAATGTAGAGTGCTGGCCTCCCTGTGGTGCGACTTCCCGATCGACGTGACCTGTTGGCTTACTTGAAGGGTGAAACAAATACTGCTCCAAATATCGACAGAGCCGCTCCAGTTGACATTTCCTTGCGTCGAGCTGTTGCTAAACAAACAGATGCACATTCGCATATTCGAAGAGGTGAGTCATACAATATATCTTTCTTCTTATATATTGTGAAATGATTCTTGTGACTTGGTCGGATTTTTGTCGCCAGTAGTGTATTCTTGTTTAATTTATGTCCAATTATGTTTTACCTAAGCTTATCAGTGCGTTCATTATTGGTGTATCAATGTAAGAGGAGATTTAAAAGTTGATTAGACCCAAAGAACTTAAAAGTCTCCGTAGAAGTTATTTCATTAAACGCTCAGAGAAAACTGTCCACTCGTCTTGTGATCCTGAATACTAGTGGTGATACAGCTCGCAGCACCCATGCTTTCATAATCATGATGTGCCACTGGGTTCTTTGACCATCTCACATTTTCTTACATTGATACTCGTGGAACTGGTTTTTCACTTAAATTTCTCCGGGATCGAACGGGTCTCCATGGTTGTGCAAAGCTTTCCTCTGAATCTTTAGTGAGTCATTACGATTTCTACTTTCGAAAATATTCTCAGTTAACTTTTTTCAGATCAGTAGTTGCTTGACACAAAACTGCTTGTCCCCATAGTCTTTGGAATTCTCTGGCCATAAAAGTATATCCGTGACACTAACTAAAGTCCATTTTTATAGTCAGTTGTTGGCTTAAGAATATTCAAGCAGAATCGTCAAAAGAAAATGACTAGAATAGTAATAAAGTAAATGTAGAGTGTTTGATTTTATCTACTAAATTGTTAATTCCAATTAGGAGAAAGCGAAGACTTTAATATACGGAATAATTCAAATGATTCTGAAAACTATGTATCGTCTTTTTATAAGCATGCTGATCACGGTCCAGCCTCCAGGCTTTTTAAGCCTTGTGACAATTACCAATCATTTGGAGCGATTTTGTATGCTGTCTTTTGGGTACGGTTAAAACTGATTTTCTGTAAATCTTTAAGCTTATTACTGACCTACTTATCTGACTCACAAATACTGTTTTCAACATAATATTGTGTGATAATCAAAGTCTATTCAGTCTTTTCCATGATTTGATGGCTTCTGAAAATTCGTCAGGGAAGTACTGGCTTTCACATGCCATTACTTCAGCATTCCAGTGAGATTTCCTTTTATTTCTTATCAACTGTTATGTTCTTCAAGTTTTGTTGGCCATTTCGGTCCTACTGTTTTTGTCTCATTGTTATTGAGACAATGAAAATAAATGTGTGTAGTTCTAGTGTTAACACAATTCCTTCACCGTTTGAAATATGACATAATTTCACCTTAAGGTGTATTTTCATGTCGCTTTATTCTCACCTTTGCACAGTATTTTCAAAACCTGGTTTTCTAGGACTCACTTTTTCAAAGATGAAATACTTTCATGTCTTAGTACGAACCAGTCAATGGCAGTGCCCCTGTAGGGGACTTATACTAGAGTTCACTAACATTATAAATATAAGAATAATAATCCAAGTCAATGGAGTGTTAAATAACAATATATTACCAAAAATGCAGTGACGAGTTGTATCAACAAAAAGGATTACTTGGATATAAAGTCTAAGTCCTCGGCTACAAATTATTTATATAATCCACAGGCACGTTAATTGTTTGGACTGCGTCTGCTGTAGCTGCTGTGTTCCGGTTGTAGAAATGTCTTCGGTTGAAAGTAGTAGGCTCCTACAATAAATCCGAAGTATACAACACGGTGTGAGTGGAGCAAGTAAGCAGAAGTGACCAGGGAGAAGACGAAGTCTCCAACAGCAGAGTGTATTTTTCAATTGTACACGGAAGTTATGTATATTTCAACAAGAAGCGTTTTAAACAAAAATTATGTACAATATCTCGAATTTATACAAGTAACCAAAAAGTGTACAATCACATTGTTACGTACTCAACACGGCTCCCCCCCTAGAGGTCCGGAGAGACAACCGGAAAATGATAAGTAAAACTATGAAGTAAATAATAATAGTAATAGCAACTTTTGGATAAAAATAGGGATATATTACAACATGCATAAACGCGAGAAGGTATGTGAATCATGTAAAGTCTGAAAGCATATACAATGAGTTCAGCAATAAAAATTGAAATAGAAAGTCATGTCACTTAAATTTGCACTAACCATGAACATAGATTTTTAATGTATAAAGAAAAATATGTAAATACACAGTAATTAAGGAGGGGAAAGAAACATTAAAAAAATATGGATTAAAGATCAATAGTTTTTGAAAAGGACAATACCTGTTTTTTGGGTGAGGTACATATAAATAAATAATAGTGATAGTAACATCAAAGTTTACGACGAAATACTAACGGTCATGATGATAATGTCTAAACGAAAAAGATAATAATAATTTTTAATTATTTTTCTTTTGTTAGTCCTCAAAATGAACGTAGCGAGCCGGTTTACTGATTTGCCGACCACTACGTGTTTGATATGGAGGGAGGATAAGACTTGGTGCCGGTGGAGTGGAATCGGATGTTTGATTATTTGATTGCGCAGCTGCCGATGTAGATTCGAAGTCGTTGTCGGTGTATGCGGGTTTGATTCGATCAATGGAAATAGTCTCTCGTTTTCCATTCTTGTTCACTGTAAAGTGTTTGTCTGAACGTTTAATAACTTGAAAGGGTCCTTCGTATGGAGGTTGCAATCCTTTTCTGATGGCGTCGACTCGAATGAAGACGAATTTGCAAGTTTGTAGATGTTTGTTGATCTGATCTCGTCGGGGAGATTGTCGAGGTGCTGTTGGTTGAAGTTGAAGCATTTGTCTAGTTAATCGGTTAGTGAAGTCGGCAATGTTCACGTCTGTGGAATCGGCTGAGGGGACTAGCTGTCCAGGCAAGGTTAGGTTGGTGCCATAGACAAGTTGAGCCGGTGTACATCCTAAATCTTCTTTGATAGTAGAACGGATACCAAGTAAAATCAAAGGTAAGTATTCACTCCACTTAGATGTATCATTCTGCGCCATCAGGGAGCTTTTCAGTTGTCTGTGGAATCTTTCCACTAGACCATTCGCTGCCGGATGATAGGCTGTTGTGGAGATATGTTTCACTCCCAGAAGTCTCGTCAGTTCGCGAAAGAGTGTCGATTGGAATTGAGGACCGCGGTCGGATGTAATAGTAGTTGGTACACCGTAGTTTGACACCCAACGGTCGAGAAAAACTAAAGCAACGTTTTCAGCAGATATGTCGTTTAAGGGGCATGCAATAGCCCAACGAGTAAATCTATCAATCGCTGTCAGGATATGTGTATATCCCCTTGATGTTGGCAATGGTCCCACGATATCTATATGGATATGCTGAAATCTCCTTTCGGGTAATTCAAACGTCTTCGGGGTTGTAATAGTGTGGCGGTGTACTTTGGAGCATTGGCATTGGATACATTCTCGTGCCCATCTCCGAATGTCAGAGTTCATTTTAGGCCACACGAAGCGTTCGCTGATCAGTCTGACCGTGGCGCGTACTCCAGGGTGAGAAAGCGAATGTAAATGTTCGAACAATGCTTTTCGGCAACTGAGAGGGACAAATGGACGATTAGTGCCGGTAGATACATCGCAGACTATGGTTGCATCTGATAAGGGGATAGGCACATCTTTGAGCTGTAAGGAAGAGTTTCTGCGGCAGGTTTGGAGTTCAACGTCATCTCTTTGTAATTGAGCCATACGATCAAGACTGATGTCTACCGACGTTTGGAGCTGGTTAATGTCACTTCTTGAAAGAGAATCGGCTACCACGTTCGCATCCCCTTTGATGTACTGGATGTCGGTTGAAAATTGGGAGATATAATCCAACTGTCTGGCTTCTCTAGGGGAGTGTTTATCGAGTGAAGTAGTGAAAGCATGACACAGGGGCTTGTGGTCAGTAAAAATAGTGAAATGCCGGCCCTGTAGTAAGTAACTGAAATGCTTCACTGCAAGATATATGGCCAGCAATTCTCTCCCAAAAGTGCTGTATCGTGTCTGAGCCGGTTCCAACTTCTTAGAAAAGAATGCGAGTGGGGTGACTTCGCCCTTCATCTTTTGTTGTAATACTGCCCCTACAGCTACTTGGGAGGCATCTGTGCACAAAATAAGCGACGCTTCGGGGTTGATATGGGATAGCATAGTGACTCTGGATAAGGCATCTTTTGCGTTGCAAAATGATTCGTGTGCTTCAGCTGACCACTGAAACTTTTTAGGATCATTTTTAAGGAGGTCGGTTAACGGCTGGACGATGGAGGCACACGAAGGAATGAAACGCCGATAGAAATTAAACATCCCCAAAAAACGTCTGACCTTCTTGAGTGAATCTGGTTCGGGGAAGTTTTTGATGGACTCTATCTTTTCCTCCGTAGGCGTAATACCATTCGCGGTTATGTGGTGTCCCAGAAACTGTATAGAGGAGACACCGAATATGCACTTTTTGGGGTTAATGACGACTCCATATTGCTCAAATCGTTGAAATAAGATGGTGAGGTGATCAGTATGTTCTTCGGGCGACGAGCTAGCAATTAAAACGTCATCGATATATACAAATACAAAGTCCAAACCTTGTGTGACCTGATCCATGAAACGTTGGAAGGATTGTGCTGCGTTCTTTAGGCCAAATGGCATGCGGAGAAATTCAAACAAACCGAAAGGTGTGATGATGGCCGTTTTTTCGATATCCTCTTGGGCAACTGGTATTTGGTGATAGGCCCTGACCAAGTCTACTTTAGAAAAAATGGTTTTTCCGTGTAATGTCAGGGAGAAATCATGAAGATGAGGAATAGGATAACGGTCGGGAACTGTGGCATTGTTTAAATGTCGGTAATCCCCACATGGCCTCCAATCATGATCAGCTTTAGGCACCATGTGTAAGGGCGAAGACCAAGGACTATTGGAGGGTCTGATGATGCCGAGCTGCATCATGTGTTCAAATTCTGCCTTGGCTGCTGCCAATTTGTCCGGGGGTAATCTACGAGGACGAGCACGAACTGGTTGACCCGTAGTAACTATCTTGTGAGTAACTGTGTGAGGGACGTCCTCGATGTTGTACGACGGCTTAAGAATTTTAGGGAAACGGTGAAGTAGGGAGGAAAAAGGGCAATCTGCTGGTCTTTCAATACTGATATTATAGACAGAATAGCTGGAGATAATTCCATGGATCTTTAGATGGGTGTTGTTATCAATCAGTTTTTTATTGTTGACGTCAACTAACAGGTTGAAATTACTCAAGAAATCTGCTCCGAGGATGGCGTGACTGACGTCGGCTACTATGAAAATCCATGTGAAACGCCGACGTAAACCTAGATCCAGTATGAGGGATTGCTCTCCATACGTCTGTATGCTTGTGTGGTTAGCTGCCCGGAGAGACAGTTTTCCGGGTGTCCGTGTAGATCGCCTGGATAGTGAAGGAGGGATTACGCTAACTTCTGCTCCCGTGTCTACCAGGAATAAAGTGTCTGAAGTTTTATCCTTCACATAGAAGAGGCGACTTGTTTGCTTGCCAGTAACAGCTGTCGCCATCACTGTCTGGCTGAGGCGTTTCCCTGAGCCTGGTTGGCTTCGCTAAAGCTGCACGGTTTTACACATTTCAGGGCATGACGTCCAAACTTCCAGTGATACCAGCATATATTGCTATCCCGAGAAGACGTGTAAGAACGCTGTCGTGAGAAGGATCGTCGTCGTGATGGTGACCTTCTTTGTGAACTCCGCCTCCGGACTCGTCGATCAGACCTATTAGTTTCCAACTTGTCAATCCTTGCCGCTAAGTCTGCAATGGCGGCGAGTATCGGTGTGTCTGCCGTGGGTGTGGAATGACACGGTGTGGCACTATCAGATGCTACGTGACTTATGGTGTTATCAGATAAAACATCCATAATACTATCTGCCATGTCACTTAGTTGGTCTAAGTCATACGACTTTCCTGAGATGATTAAAATTTGCTGGACATTTCTAGGTAAACGTTGCAACCACATCTGTTTCAGCACTACCTCGTCTACTTTATGATGTCCGATTAACTGGCGCATGTGCCTGAGCAGCTGGGATGGTTTACGTGGGCCTAGTTCACAGCCTGTGAGCAATTGTTGGATTCTTTTCTCATCCGACAAACTGGTACGTTGTATGAGGAGGGCTTTAAGTTTATCAAATTGATGTTCCGTCGGAGGATCTTCGATGAAATCGCTGATTTCTGTCAATACTGACGGAGGGAGTTCTGCCAGCACCATACCATATTTGGCTATTTGGGACTTAATGCCCCGTGCTTCTAGCAACGGTTCAATTACCGCAAACCAAATCCTTGGTTCTGCGAAACCGTATTGGGGTAAACGAAAATCAGTGATGGCATTTATTGTGGCATTTGTCTCGCTATTAGTTGTCTGCTCGTTTGATGTACCGGACTGAGGTGATGACATTATAAATATGAGGTTATTGGTGCAAATTAGGATACAAATATAAACCACACACAAAATCACAATGAATATACAAAATAGCAAAAATAAGAATATGAATATGCCAAAATAATCCGTGTTCTTATCGGGCTCACCAATTAATTTGTAGGGGACTAATATTAGAGTTCACTAACATTCCAAATATAAAAGTAATAATCCAAGTCAGTGGAGTGTTAAATCACAATATATTACCAAAAATACAGTGACGAGTTGTATCAACAAAAAGGATTACTTGGATATAAAGTCTAAGTCCTCGGCTACAAATTAATTATATAATCCACAGGCACGTTAATTGTTTGGACTGCGTCTGCTGTAGCTGCTGTGTTCCGGTTGTAGAAATGTCTTCGGTTGAGAGTAGTAGGCTCCTACAATAAATCCGAAGTATACAACACGGTGTGAGTTGAGCAAGTAAGCAGAAGTGACCAGGGAGAAGACGAAGTCTCCAACAGCAGAGTGTATTTTTCAATTGTACACGGAAGTTATGTATATTTCAACAAGAAGCGTTTTAAACAAAAATTATGTACAATATCTCGAATTTCTACAAATAACCAAAAAGTGTACAATCACATTGTTACGTACTCCACACCCCCTCAATTATTTTAAGGCAGTACATTATATCATAATGATTTCTACGAAATATTTACTCACATCCAAGTGGGATACATACATAGTATGTTTTCGATTGATTGATTGTACTGCCTATTTCTTTGAATCAAACTCTTCATTAAGCTAATTACATTTGATTTACCAACTGTAGATGCAGCTGATATACTTGGTGCAGATGGTTTCAATGTCGATTCTGAGGCCAAACGAATGCGACTTACGAGTAGTGTTGAAGGATTGGATGACAGTTTGTTAAGTCGTGAGTCGCAAGCTCGTTTGAAGTCTATGGTACTTGGTGAAGAGGCAATTGCACGTGAAAAGCGTGATTTGGCTGCTAAGCTAGAAAGTTCGTTTGGTAATCGTTCTTCTAGTTTCATTCAGCCTGATCAAGCAAATCAAGCACATTGCCAGAAGCTGTTCCACTGGACAAAATTCAGGTAAGAGATATCCATTTAGACTGTTTGGCTGTCCTGTACATTGGCTACTTAATAAATAAATTTTCGTAATTTTTTAGTCATGGCGAGCGAAGTTCCGTGCCATTCAACAGCAAAGAATCAAAACGGGTGATGTAGATCAGGCGTTTGAAGTCCCTGTAGCAAATTATCCTGGCAGTGATGGTGACGCTGGACTGTCAGTTATGTCTTTAGATGCTCGAGACTCCCGTGTTGGTCTTCATAGTGTAGTACCTGGAGGCGAATCTCAATCTATTATTCGGATAGACGATGTTACTCATGGTCAATTATATTCAGGCAGCACTCTCCTTAGAGCTTCTCTTATGGCTGACGAAGCGCCAGTACGCGCAATTGTAGCGCGTGAGCGTTGCTGGCGAACTCGTGTCTCGGTTTTACAGAGTCAAGGAAAAACATTCTACGAAAACATTGTTTTGGGAATTCTTCGAAATGTAATCGTAAGTCAATTTTCAGAAAGTTGTATTTGTTTTATAATTCTATTGTGAATTCATATTCAGTACGGGGTATATTTATTTCAATTGAAATAGTTTTTCCTTTGTACGGATAAAAGCTGATTGCAAAAATAGTCGTGGCTGTAGAAAAAAGTGTATATGTGACCCCTGTTTGAATGTCTGAGGACATTCTTCTCTTACCGTCTTAAGTATATTTGAGTACTTGTTTCTTTAAGATACGTTTGAGTAGCATTTGTTAAACAGTTTGCTAGAATGTTATGAATAAAGGTCATTGGTTGGTATTATAATTCTCTTTTATCTTGTTGTGAAAGTGATTGCTTACGGACTACAGTAGATTTTCTTTAGGGAATGTTAGTCGTGGTGTCCAACAATTTATTTTTCGCACACTTGATTAGTCACCGTTGTTTTTGCTTTCTGTGCATTTTGTAGTTGAAAGAAGATGCTCATAATGCTCCAGATCCTAAAGCAGCTGGCAGATTAGGTTATACGGCTGCTAACAATCAATCGACACTTTTCCCCCAACCACTGGCTGTCGGAACTTACTATTCAAAACCTAACGGTGCAAATACTGGGTCAGCTATGGCGCTCAGTACAGGGCAGCCTATGTCTGTTTCTAACTCCAATGCGCCGCATCATTCACAGATGCATTATTCAAGATACGATCAAGAGCGTTTTACAGGTGGACGTGAAGAAACTGCCGGCTTTCGCATCGATACTATGAGTTCTTATCACGGAAAGGCCTTGGTGTCAATGGTTGCCGGTAGTGCAGACAAGCCAAATTCAGATAATTTTGCTGGGAGTTCAACTCCTCTCCGTACGCCAGCGACTACTTCTAGGTCAATGGGAAACGAAACTCCGACTATTCCTTATGAACCTCAATCTCTCAGAGACCCTCGAGCTACTACCTCAGGGATTCCTTCAACCCCCAGTGCTACTCCTGATGCATGTAAGTATAAATCAAGTCCTGTTTCGATTAGTACATTTTACTCATAACTACATATTTTCCAGGTATCTATATTTCAAAGGCTAATTGTATGTTTTTTAGCGTGGGTTCCAAGAATTATAAATAGTTTGAATGTCTTTCCAATCCTTACCTATAAGACAGCAAAGAAACTTCAAAGGCTGCATCTTCATGGTTGCCATTTACCAAAAAAGTACATATGCCGTCCGGTTACTATATGCATCATTGGTTTTTGAATTGTGTTTTACAGTTCCTCTAGGTGAACTGCGCAACCCTTCAAATTCCCCTTTCACTTTTCTAGGAATACCTCAGACTGCATATAAGCAGTGAGTAAGGTCTTGGTTGTATGTCTGCATTTTGAGGGGAAGACCAGTTCATTTAATGAGCCGTTGTTTGTGATTCAGAAACACCCACAAATTGTCTTCATTAAATTATTTCTTTTTAACATTTTGTCCGTCTTATGGGATTTTACGCCCTAGGGGCCTTATGTTTCTTTTTACTTTGGTAAATTGTAGGCAAATGTTAATATGTAATTAGGCAAGATCATGTCTTTTTAGATGATCTGTGTTGTAAGTCAATTCAGCCGAAACTTTTGGGATTTAGTGTATCCAACTCCTAGTGACTGAGATCGTTTCTCTCTATATATTTCTGCATAACATATATCAGTAGGCTACTACTATAGTTTCTTTTTAAAATTATTTCTTCATACTGTTTATCTACTTCGTTCCAAGCTTTGCACACACTTCAAACATCTTTAAGCAGTTGGTTAACAATTAATATAATTCCTTTTGATGTTGGTAAAAGTGCATAGCATGTATTTCATTTTTCGCAGATCGTGGTTTACGCTCTACTGCTGATGCCCGCCTTTCTGCTCGAAATAAAATTAGATCATCTCGTATTCCAATTATTATAATTCCTGCAGCACCAACTAGTCTAATTACTATGTACAACGCCAGAGATATCTTGCAAGTAAGCATACTCTTTTTGATTTTCTTTTTGTTAACAGTTATTATTGTGTTGTTCGTTATTTTTATTCTCTGTGGGTGATTTCAAATGTATACTCACCTAGGTGAGAACAGGTTTAAAAATCAAATGATCTTTAATTACATCAGGAATGTTTAAAGATAATTTGATGGGTCTACTTAGGATGCACATTGACGAAGAGTCCCAAACTAGGACAAGACAGTTACCTAGTACCCCTTGACTCGCCTCGGTGGTCCAGTGGTAGGAATGTCCATCGACCACGCACGTGGTCTGGGGTTCGACGCGTCCCTTAACCTCTCAGCCAGTAGTAAGCCTGATAAGAAGGGCAGGTTAGGCGCTAAGCATACCCGCCCCGTGGGAAAAGCAAGACTGCTACTGAAACCTTCCAGTTGAAGCCTGAATTCCTATATTCACCTCGGAACGTAAAGGAATGAAAAAAGAGAAGTATAATAATTCGAATTCATTTGGTCATAAATTGTTTTCTGACTTTGGTAACTAGCGGGAGAAGCGCATCACATACAGAGCAGACTAAATATTTCTTGGGCCTTTTAGAAGATATAAAACAAGTTTCTAAATTTGGATCCGCAGTTTAACAGAATTACTAGAACCAAAAGCGGTCTAATCGATACTGAAAACTAGGGGCCGTTATTTTGAGTTGACATGATCACTAGTTCGACAGTGGGTATCATACACTAGGAAAATTTGTCGTTTCCCGTCTAAATACTAAAAGGACCTACTTAGATATTTGGGGTTGTTTTATGATAGATTAAACTAATGACTTGTGTTCGTCGAAATGTTTTACATCTGTTCTGACGAGAACTTTTAACTGTTATGTATCAAAAACCTTTTAGTAGTTCATATTCAGGTTTATTGTATTTAGTTTGATGTAAGATGGTGGGAATTTTGTTCACGGTTGCTTTAGGTGTAAGACTAGAGATAGAGTTCTGTGTAAAGGCTAAGTAATAGTTTTCTAATTTAGCACAGTGTTGAAGTTTTGAATTGTGTTATGTACTAGTTTCCCCGTCGCCAAATTGTTATGTACTCGTCGCTAAATTATTGTTATGGACTGGTCGAGAAATTAATAGTCCTGACGCGAGAAGGCGGAAATCAGAAGACCACTAGGTTTGCGATGATACTTCTATTGTCCAAACACAAGGAGACGAAAATAAATGGTCTCACACCAAAGTGATAAGTAAGTAAAGTAGTTCACACAGAATGTGTGAACGAAATATATATATATATATATATATATATATATAACAAAATATATATAGCAGACATGTCAAACAACCATATATGGATATATGTCACTAAGCAACGGACTGTCAACAAACACTCATATTATATATAATATAATATAAGGAGAATACACATTATTGAAGGAGACAAGTTCATACAAATGAAATGGTCACAGACTAAGCGAGCAAACAGAAAGAGAGACCAACATACACACACACACATAAATATATATATGTGGATACATATCAAATGTCAGATGAATAAATGCACGTTGTTGTTACTCTCTACTCTTTAGTAAGGAGTAAGGTATAGAATCTGGATTAGTATCCTACAACCTTTTATCTTCTGAAAGGTTTTCAAACTCATTCAACCAGGGTTTCAGTTCATATGCAGTTGGGCAATACGGCAAGTACTAGGTGTAGTCACGAACATGGTATAAGAATATACACATGTCTAATTCAACTTATTTTCAACATATCACAAACAATAGTAGAGACTAGGCTTGAATAGTTGCTTTCATTTTCAACTCCCAGCTCTACACACAGGTTTCCATGGACACAGTATCGTAAAAATTCTGTAGTTCTTTATCGTAGAAATTTCTACACATTTCGTTCCAACAAAGAGTTGCACTTCAAACTATATGTTTTGGAGGATAATAGGAGTTCACAGGTTGCTGCATCTTTTATTCAACATTCTCGTTTCTGTAGTGTTTCCATCCTGTTTTCTACCAACCGTCTACAAATATCAACAGCATTTCCATAGTTACATACTTGAATTTTTTATTGGTGACATGCATTTTTTTGTTGAAATAAATACCTCAAATGACTGCAATTCCATAGTACGTTGTCTTCCGTTTTAGGATTTACGTTTCGTTAAATCTCAGGAAAAACAAGCTTCAGGTATGCGTCGTGAAAATGAAATTCTGATTCAACGTCAGAAATCTGATGGTCGAACTGTACCGTATCGTGTGGTGGACCAACCAAATAAATTATTATTAGATGAATGGAATCGTGTTGTGGCCGTTTTTGTCCAAGGTCAAGCATGGCAATTTAAAGGTTGGCCAATCAGCTCTGATCCAGCTGTAATTTTCTCCCAAAGTAAGCAATTTTTCATTGGTCCATTGGGATGATTGTAAGGGATTTCATCGATTTTTAGTAATGTTTATGTGTCGTTATGATTGATATATTTAACTCTTAGATGTAATTGAAACCATAGGTGGGTTTATTTGCCATTTTATTAAAGTGACTGTGGATGCTACTCAATGCTACTTGTTGTAGTGGGATGTATTCGTGAAATAATAGAGATTTATGTGTTAAAGTGAAGCTTATAGTAACTTGGTCTTCTACAGTAGGCAACTCATAAAACGTCCAATGGAATTGACTTTAACTAACGTCAGTGACTTAGGGATTGACTTGTTACCAGGGTATAGTTTTATTGACCTAGAATATGCGGATGATATAATCCTCCTAGGTAGCACAGTGGTTAGGACTCTCGCCGGCCATGAACATAGTCCGGAGTTCGATCCCCCGCCGAAGCACACCTGATATTGAATGGTTGGTCTGCAAAATTCGGGCTACCGATATCACATGCTGGAAATTTCCACACTTGTACCAAAAATACTGTTTGAAATCAAGCTATAATCAAAAATATAAAAAGCAGAGTCTTCTGAACACAGCAAAAATCTGCGAATGTTTGGGATACGATTTGCTCCTGTCACATGTAAGAGGATGCTACAAGACTGGATTACAATGACTCCTAGGTTAAAAAATAGGGAGTGAAGTGGTAGAATATGTTAAGCACTTCGCCTATTTGGGAAATTGCATCAGCCCCTACTGACTGATTGATAACGAAATTTCGTCACGGATACAAAAGTTTCGTGTGGCATCTGCCAACTTACCTAGTCTCTGGTAGACGTGATACCCGGATGGCTGTTTACTTCCCAGTCGTTCGCTCCGTCCTCCTTTATGACTGAGATATGGTCATTGAAAGTGGAAGTCATGGAGAGTGTGGCTGTCTTTGATCATAGGTGTCTGCGTTCTATATCCAGAATTAAGTAGTATTCTTTCTCCCTGGCATTTCTACTTTTTATCGTTCCTTCGAATCTGTTTTTTCTCTCTTTTATCTTCATTTGTGTGCTGCATGAAGTATATATATATATAATAAATGTGGTACCAAATTAAACATAAGACATTGCAGTTGACTACCATGAATCATAATGCGTGTATAGTTGTGAATACTCGTGAATAATGTTCAAATTAAGTTATCGATTTCATACAAAAAACAGGCAGAGACAACGTGATGAAGGGTTGTATGTGTGTGTGTGTATGACATTATATAACGGAGGCTAAATTTAAAAAAACAAAATGTTTTTTCATACTAGTGTGATAGTGAATAAGGGATAGGTGAAATTTATTCATATAGCAGGTAACATCACACCCAAAAGGTATGAATTAATGCAATATATTGTTAGATGATTGGAGGCAATCGTCATTAGTGACTCTACTTAGTGTCCAATCTTAGTTTCCATTCCAGTCCTACAGGAGGTCAGTAGTCGCGAGTTCGAAGAGCTTAGTGGGTGGTAATGCTTCTGACTACTGGAACTCTGCGTGACCTGACTTCGAACTTCAGGGAGTGTATAAACCTCTTCAAGATTTCAGATACGCCTTTTTGAGGATTGCCAACAAGCATGAAGCGCCTAGGTTCAACAGCTTCGTGTCGATTATCTTCAACCACCTAATAACAGCACTTGGGAGTGCGCCATGATCCTGAGCCATCTAGTGGCATGGTTGCCATACTTCAAACTTGTCTGATAGAATTCAGTCTGCACTGAACAAGGGAAGAACTAGACGCATGACAGTAATTACTTCCTACCTAGTGTTCAATCAAATTAATACAGTATTTGTGGACTGACAGTAGAATTGTAGGTTCTACTTTTCATGTTCACTTAACGTATATTTTGTTATTACTCAGTGCATATCAACAATTAAAGACTTGTCTTTCTCATTATCATTATTTTTTTCCTTCATAGTTAAAGGTTTTCATTTGAAATATACCAATATGCCTCTGGATCCAAATGTAGCCAAATGGAATGTACGTGTCATCGATCTAGATCAACGACGTCATCTAGACAAGGCTAATTTTCAACAAATCTGGGAACAACTAGATAAACATATAGCTAGAAATAAGCCATTTCTACGTTCTTAGGAGGAGGAGGGGAAGGATGAGAATAAGAAGAAGATGACGAAATCATTTCTTTTTTTTGTATAAAGAAACTAGGTTGTTTTGTTATCATTATTATTATTATTTTTTGATTATTTGTTAAAATAAACATTGTATAGAAATGTTCAATTATTTGTTGTTATTTAATCATGCGTGCTGATGACTCTGTAAGTTAGTAGTAGGTTGTAATCTGGCCGACGACTGCTACCTTGTCGTGGTGGTCGGGCTTGAACACCGCAGTGACCCAACAAGCTAAACTGGCTGGGACTCATGTCCCTGCAGGTCCTACCATGTCAGGAAGGTTGTTTGGATAGCGGTTAGACTAAAAGCAGTTACCATGGGGTACATTGGCTCCAGAATCCACTTGGATCAAATGGCGTATGAACCCATATAGGTCACCGGCAACCATGGGAATGCAGCTGCTGACGTTGCTCCGCTGCCTTGCGGATTAGACTCCAAGTCAAAGGCTCGGGGGGTGGTCCCTTAATAAAACCACCTCCTTCGGTCTGGGCGCCCGGGCAGTATCTCATCAGCCCTCACACAACAAATGAAATTAAGTGTGGCTCATCTTTCTTGGTGCCATATTGTACCAAGCTTTTTTCTGCGTTTAAATAATAATAAATAGTAGTTTGTAAACTCATTAATATTCATCACTATGTTTTCTTATTTTTTTATGTATGTAATTGTCAAACAGTCGTTAAGGTTTAGTTAAGTAAAGCAATAGGAATGTTCACAATCAACATTCTTTACTTGAGTGTGTCAAGACTACTTAAAAGTTGCTTCATATTTGATATCTACTACCTTACTCAGATCTTAATCACTTCATACTCTAATATATCAACTGTTGTTGTTAGAGGTTATGTGTAGATTAAGGTTGATAACAGCGAACCGAGACAGCTGACTAACTGACTGATTTCAGCGTAGAACTTTGCACAGAGACGTTCAACACTTCAATTTGCCACACTCCATGTAGCCCATAGTGTAAGACAAAAGAGAGATTCAAGAAGAAACGATATTAAGCAGAAATGCAAGGGAAAAATAAGAACAGCAGCATGGAGAAACAATAGGGTTTTAATTAATATGGGAGACCACAAATGGAGAACCATTTTGAACCATCCCACCCATTGCCTCCAGTCTTCATTGATCCTTACCATCCTGAGGACTCCAACCAAGCGGTCAAGATGTTTTTTCTATGTGGCTCAAATCAAATGTCAAAGATTTCATGGATTGACGCCATGTTTTCGATTTGACCACCCCTAACTCCTCTCCAGCCTAATTCTATGCCACCTAAGATTTCTCGTCGAGGAAGAGGGTGGTTCGTCGCGCATCCCACATGTCCTAGGTATTTCGGTCCCACCAATTCACTTGCCTTCTTTACCTAATACTTGATGCCCAACCTCAGTATTACTGTCTATATTGTACCACTTAACACGGGAGATAGTACACCAACACCTATAATCAAAGACAGCTAGCTCTTTCGTGTCTTCTATTTTCATTGGTCGCGTCTCACTCACAGCCATAAAGGAGGATGGAGTGAACTGCTGAGCAGGAAGACACTGTTCTTATTCATTTTAAGATCTGTAGGTTCCGCAGTTGAGATCAGTTTAACACGCCGGAGATCGAGGCTCAGTTGCCAGTCAATTGATTCCTAAATTCGCCTAGTTTATTTGCTGGTAGTAACCCCGACAAGTGGTGGAATGTTGGAGTGAGATTAGAAACTCCACTTGGTAGAAACTACACACCGCTACTTGAAACTTTCAAATTTGAAGTCGTATATATCACTCGGATTGAAAGGAAAGAAAAACGCATGTATTCTACTGATAGAATTGGGTGATTATTAGTTTTCGTGTCACCTAGTCCTAGGCGAAGACGCTGACGAAATGCAGATCCTTCTAAACACTTTGAGCCGCAATCTACGAATGTTTGGCATGCGATTCGCTCCCGCCAAATGCAAAATTATGATACAAGACTGGACTACATCGACGCCTCGTTTAAAAATAGGAAGTGAAGTGGTAGAGCACGTTGACCGCTTCACTTATTTGGGAAGTACCATCAGCCAGTGCCAACGGGTTGGTCTCTGACGAAATCTCAGCACGAATACAGGGGGCTCGTTTCGCATTTGCCAGTTTACGCCGACTCTGGCGTAGACGAGATGTTCGACTATCGACCAAAGGGCGGGTGTACTGCTCATCAGTCCGCTCCGTCCTCGTTTATGGTTGTGAGCGAGACCTGGCCACTGAGAGTGGAAGACATGAAAACACTGACTAGCTGTCTTTGATCATAGGTGCCTGAGCTCTATTTCCCGTGTAAAGTGGCATAATAAGGTGAGCAACATTGAGGTTAGGCGTAGAGTTCTAGGTAAACAGGGGAAATCAATCGACGAAGTCGTGAAGCTACAAAGACTGAGATGGTTAGGACATGTGTTACGTATTCCAACCCATCGCCTCCCTCGACGAGCAATGTTAGCGGATACAGGGTCAGGCTGGACAAAAGCTAGCGGAGGTCGAACAAAAACTTGGCACCAGTCAATGAAATCCACAACAGTTGGTCTAAGCCACGTAGGAAGGTGTAGACTTCCAGGCTGGGGTCCTAGGGACGGTAAAAATCTATGGTTGGAAACAATTGGTGACATGGCTCAAAACCGTTCTCAGTGGCGCAGATGCATCCACTCCCTGTGACTTATGATCTCCAATGCAACTGTTTTGTTTTTCTTTATTACTCCTTTGTCTCACCCCTCTGCTCACTGTTTCTATTATGCTTTTCTTGTACTTTCTTCTCTTGCTTCGCGTGCTACACGGAGTGTGGCGACTTGAACTGGCGCACATTTGTGCAAAGTTCTATGTCAAAAACAGACAGACAGTTTTCGTGTCATATTCATCCACATACTGAAATTGGGGTAAACAGGTAGCATGACCTTTTTTTGCAAGAATGGTGTGTGTTATCCAGTTCGCAAAAATGCAATTGTTCATTTGGCTACACCGGTTGTACATGTTTATACTTCTACTATTTCAAACAGCATAAAGTTATGAGCATTTGTACCCCGTCTACATTTTCAGGATGTCATTCTACTCTTATACTATTAACTGAATTCATCTTATTTTGCGAAATTGAAGGTTCTCCCAATGTAACTGCTACCGCAGATACACATAAAACATAAGAAGGCTACATGTCGACCTTTGATTGTACCAAAGAGCTTGTTATCCGATTAACGGGTACCAATTTAGTTGCAGGATAGGTTCTGCTTAGTGAAGTATCCAATCTTCCTGTAATATATCCATCTTTAACATTGAGTGAAATAAAGATAAGTTTTCTCTCCACTGTGATTTGTTCGGCATTTGAACCTTCACACCACACACAGTCGTTAGTGAATTCCTGAGGATAACCGTTGTTATTTCAATGTTTACAAACATATAATCGACAACAAGAAGTAGTTCTGTCGATTGCAAACTTTAGCTTTGTTTTCTGAGAGTTAAATATCAAGTTTTGCGCGAAACCAGGGCTAAGTGGAACGCCCATAAGCTAACACCATCTGTTTGACGGTAAAGAGTGTTGTGAGATTCGAATTGCACATCCATGGTACACATTAGCAGTAGGCGTTTGAATTCCGTCTCTGGGAGTGAGAGAAGATCAGACTGTTGACAAGTGATCTTAATGCTTTCATTGATTGGAATCATTGTGAACAAGGAGGTTGCATCAAATGACACCATGAACTTATCTAAAACGTTCATGTAGTTCACATTTTCAGCAAAATGAAATGAGTCTTTCATGGTGTGCATGGCTAGACGTTGACCAATGGATCCCAACATCTCATCAAGTTAAAGTGCAACTTTATGTTGGAACGAATCGATCATAGAAAGTTTAGGTCTGAGGGGATATGGTATTTTTCAGGCCATACATTTAAAGCAGACGAGACTCTCGGGGTTTTACATGAGTGTAAGCGTCGTTGTCAAACGGTTTCTTCTTTGGGAACTCTCTCAACACACTTTTGATATTCTCTTCAACTGGATCTGTCTTATCTTTCTGGTAGTCTTCTACTTTAATATGATAATAAAGCTTTATTTCAAACAGCATGTGAACAAATATTACAGAAATTTTCAGCCTACTTAGTTACGAAATATTTCCTGTGGTTTAAACAGACCGCCTCTATGGAACTTTCAAACCTCAGTAGATCAATTTAGCTGGTTTCATCTTTTCAATGTAGTCTTCTTTTGTGCATCAACACCTCCGATAAGCCTTTATCACAGCGCAATGTGACTTTTCGGTCATTATTTTCGAGAATCAGAAATTCTTACTCTAAATTCTCTGTAGACTAAATTCTCCTGGTTGTATAAAACAGACTTTTGATTACTGCTGGTCTATAGCTAAGTGGAAAAAAACTGTTGAAATTTTGAGTATTGTTCATTTCATGTAGGCTTTCGGTGAATTGATCTCTAGTGACTACTATCTTCCAGGCGTTGCATGGCAATCTCAAGGTAATGAAACTTCCCGTCACTTGCATGTTCCTTAGTGAAATTTGAAGTCTCCAGTCAACTAATATTATGTGACATTTACAAATATGTTATAATTCTTCTGTCCATAAACTGAACAGTTTCCTCAGGTTGTACACAGCTGATGATAAGCCGATAAAATAAACGATGGTACCATCTTATGCTGTACAAACTGTTGTTCTTGCTTTGACCGAAAAATTCAGTACTGAGTGAATATCAAGACATGTAAATAAATTCTACTTAGACGAGGGTATTTAGAGGTAACTTTCCATCTGTTTATCCTGGCTTCTGTATTCAATACAGCTTGCTTATTAGACCATTCCGAATTTGGTAAATACTGTCTCCATGTCAGTAGTATGTACAAATTTACACACAAAGAAGCAAGTTTAAGAAAAGGATTCTGAATAGAGTATCAAGTGAAAGTGTTCGCGAATTTCTTTGAGTCGAGAGTACTCAGGCTTTACAGAGAATGTTAAGTTTATTATTTGTTTTATGAGC